CATAATATATATTTTTGAATCATATTCACCAGGGTAAAACATACTGGGCTATGTTAAACAGATTGAGCTAATATCTAACTTTACCTGCAATGCACATCTGTTTCATTGCTGTTAATTTTTCAATCCATACTGGGGGAGTCAGAAACGTTTCTACTTTTATCAAGGAGAAGGGGGCACAAAGTTTGCCTTCAATCTGGAAGGGGGGGGGGGTCAAAAAAGTTTCCAATCCTTATTTTCCCAATTTACCAACACTCCCCCGCCCCCTCAGTAATGACCATTTCCTTACAAGTTATAAAAGCAACAGTTGGAAAATATTACCGGATTAAAAAATATTACAATTTTTTGGCAATTATTAGCAAATTCGTACCTTGCCATAGAATTGAACTTGTAAAGTTCTCCTATATTCTGTAAGAAACAAAATTTCATCAATTGCAGTCATGAGATTATGCCGGTCAACCATGATGAAGTTGGTCACTCCTTCATTCACTTCAACTACAGACTGAACCTCCAATGCTCTTCCTATCACCATTCTGGGTTGAAAATATCGTAGAATTTCAACAGGATTCAATATATTATGCTCTTGACAGTAGGTAATAGTGCTGTCAACAATTTCATCTACTGATTGCCCATTATTGTTGGCTGCTGCTGGTGTGTGTGTTAGGTCAACAACTGGAATGGATGATGACAGAATAACAGATGAAGAGGCATTTGAAGTAGAGGATGGTGATGAGGAATCACTGACAGTGGTAATTGCTGAAACTAATGAGGTTTGGGTATTTGGTAATGAATTGTTAGGGATGCTTGGGGAGTTGATGGATTGCTGGACAATTGGTTGGGTAACAGATGGTCCTGCTGTAGATGTAGATACTGTTGTTGCAGTTACTGTGGTGGTATTGGTGGCAGAGGTTTCAACAGGTAGAAATGTCTCAACTGTACCAGTATTAGTATTTTGGCCATCATCATCATCATCACTTGTCTCCAACCCCTGGGTACAAGACCATAAGTGATCGCGAAGATTGCGGACAAGGACGTCCTCGTTACACATATAACATTTTTGTTTCACTTCTGACTTACTTTCAGCCACTATAGGTTGTGTTGACAAAGACTTCTGTATTGGTCGCAAGTAAATCTTCCCTTGCCCTCCGCCCAAGTTTGAACGCAGATCTTTTGCATTCCAGGAACAGTCGATGACAGTCAGATCCCGACAATTCGGTTGACAGCGCATCATTTCAAACCCTCCACATGTTTTCAGTTGTGGAAATCCACAGGCATTTCCAGTGGCGTCTTTTTCATCGGAAGTAATTTTATTTACTACAGTCTGTTCGTCATCTTGTGTATCCAACTTTATCTTTTTCAATCCTAGACCAGCTTTGACGTCAGCTCCAGAGATGACGGGGTTTTGCATGCAGTGCTATCTGCCACGCAAACAAACGTCGGCGTCCATGCACTGCCCTTTGCCGCCCTCTTATTCGCGCCGCTCGAGCTCGAGTTTCTTGCTGTAACACGTGCTTGGCTACGGCTGTTGTGCCTTCGTGGGTTGAATATTGATAGCCGCTCTTCACGAACAGCATTTGTCTGGCTGGTAGACGCATTATTTTCCTCTACTTTTTTCTTACAGGCATCGCGTATACGAACACGATCACCAATTATTATTATTATTATTATTATTATTGATCTTTAAACACGGTAACCTTTCACATAGGTGATTTTCAAAGGGCCGTGCGGAAAATAAATGCATTATAAAAGAAGGAACTAATAAACTAAATTATACTTATTTACAAAATATACTTATTTACTTATTTACTTATTTACAAGATGTAATTATTTAATAGATGATGGACAGATTTTAAACTTGTTGACTCTCTTAGGGTTTTCAACAAGTTTACTGGGATGTTGTTCCAATACGCTGCTCCTCTGTACGAAAAGCTATTTTTCAAGAAATTCGTTTTTGGTTTAGGTTGAGACAGCTTTAAATTACTACTGCGCAGTACGTAACCATTGTTTTCGCAAGTGTGAAATAGTTGTGTTACGTATTCTGGAAGCATGCCATTAATCGCTTTAAATGTCATAAGGAGATCTCGCTTTTTCAAAACTAAGTCAAGAGGTTTCCAGCTAAGTTTTTGAAAAATGTCCGAAGATCTTATAGTATAGTCCGAATTTGTTATTATTCTTGCTGCTCGTTTCTGAAGCTTATATAATTTGTCTAAGTGTGTTTGGTTGTTATTTTGCCAAACAGTTGAACAGTAGTTAAAATGAGGCGCGACTAATGCGTTATACATAATTTTGAGCGTATCTAGGCCAACAAAATCTTTGGCTTTTCTTAAAAGATTAATATTTTTTGATATCTTGTTGCATTGTTCTTCATTTTGCCTATTCCAGCTAAGTCTATCGTCTATAACTATACCCAAAGCTTCCTTTTTATAAACTCGTTCAATTTGATGTCCGTTTATACTGATTTTTGGCACGTGATCTAAGTTTTTCAATCGTTGCCGAGATCCAATAATCATATATTTGGTTTTTTCGTTGTTTAATGTTAGTTTATTCGCTGATAACCATTTTTGAGCATTTACTAGGTCTTTGTTAAGTTTGTATTCAATATCTATGGATAAATGCCCTTGACATGATAAAATTGTGTCATCAGCAAATAAATTAGAATGTGTTGTTTCTAGGCAGTTTGGGAGGTCGTTTATGTAAATGAGAAATAATAGAGGTCCAAGATTTGAACCCTGAGGTACTCCACAACGAATTGTTTCAATATCAGATTTACAGTTATTTAGCATGCAAATTTGCTTTCTTTGATCTAAATACGATTGGAACCATTTGAGCGTGTGGTCGCGTATCCCATAAGCTTGTAGTTTTGACAATAGAATCTGGTGATCAATCGTATCAAATGCTTTTTTCAGGTCTAAGAAAATAACCCCATTTATTTGACCCTGGTCCATTGATTTCAACCACATTTCAGTAGATTGTAGTAACGAGGTTTCGGTTGAGTGATTGCGACGGAAACCTGATTGATTTTTTACAATTATGTTGTTGTTATCCAGGAAGGTATTTAGTTGTCTACAGACTAATTTCTCAAATATTTTGGCGATATTCGAAATGACTGATATCGGTCTATAGTTTTCACATAAGGTTTTGTTTTCTGACTTATATATTGGAGTCACTTTGGCAAATTTCCAATCATCTGGAAATATTCCTGTCCTAAGAGATAGGTTAAACACTTCTAGAAGTGATTCAGTTATTGTATCGCCTGCCTGTTTTATTAGCTTAGTTGAGATCTTATCTAGACCTGTAGATTTTGCCATTTGCATATTTTGTATTTCTCTTTTCAGCTCATAGCTTGATATGCTATGAAAGTGAAATACATTTGTGACTTGGTCTATATATGACAAAGGATCAGGACTACAGCCATTGTCAGCAATGTTATTTGCTAATTTGGGACCTATAGAAGTGAAGAATTTATTAAACTCGTCGACTATGGCTTTATCTTGTGTTACATTTTTTCCATGGTCTACGCTAAGTTCATTAACAATTGTGGTTTTGGATTTCCTATTAAGCAGATTATTTAATGTATTCCAACCTTCTTTACTATTTTTACTGTTTTGTAGTTTAGTGTTGTAAAATTGAACCTTAGTTGCTTTGATTCTTTTGTTAAGTTCATTTCTACAACGTTTATAAGCTTCGTGGTAATTAGAAGAGTTAAATTTGACCGCTTTTTGTTTCAAGTAGAATTTATGATGCGCAAGGTTTTTTATTTCGTTTGTCATCCAAGGACAGTGCTCACTTTTGACTTTCCGAATCCGAAGTGGAGCATGCATATTTGCAATATCAAGAAAAATAGTTTTCCATACCTCCCACGCATGATTGGGGTCGGCATAATTATAGAAGTTGTTGTGTCTTTGAAATGCCTCTTTGAAATGTTGTGTCTTTGAAATGCTTCGTACTCACACCAAGACGAACCAACTCTTGGTCAGAGGCAGCTAAAACTGTCTCTGGTTCCATTCGCTGCTCTTGAAATCGGCCAAGCAAAGTCCCCAAATTTAGCGATTGTAGTATTTGTTCCATATTTTAAAAAAAAACTACTGAAAGCGCAAAAAAATCGTATATATTTAACGGCCAACGCTAAACTTGTAAATTTCGAAGCAAGAAAATTACACGTGTGCATTACGTTCTATGACATCACAAATATTCTATATCTGACACGACGTATATATCCGATTCATCCAAACTCCACAACGCTGACCAAAAGTACTGGCTCACCGAATATAATGATGATAAAACCACCGCGTATAATGATAAAAGCACCGCGTATAATGTCTCAAGCACCGCGTATAATGTTGAAACCACCGCACGTAGTTACAGCACTGCGTATAATGATAAAACCACTGCGTACAATGCTGAAGGTACCGCGTATAATGTTATACCGACCGCTTATAATGTCTCAAGAACCGCGTATAATGCTAAAAGCACCGCGTATAATGTTAAAAGCACCGCGTATAATGTTAAAAGCACCGCGTATAATGTTAAAAGCACCGCGTATAATGTTAAAAGCACCGCGTATAATGTTAAAAGCACCGCGTATAATGTTAAAAGCACCTCGCATAATGTTGCGAGTACCGCGTATAATGTCTCAAGCACCGCGTATAATGCTAAAAGTACCTCGTATAATGATAAAACCACTGCGTACAATGATGAAGGCACCGCGTATAACGTTACCCCGACCGCGTATAAGGTTAAAAGCACCGCGTATAACGTTATACCGACCGCGTATAATGTCTCAAGCACCGCGTATAATGTCTCAAGCACCGCGTATAATGTTAAAAGCACCGCGTATAATGTCTCAACCACCGCGTATAATGTCTCAACCACCGCGTATAATGTCCGAAGCACCGCGTATAATGTCTCAAGCACCGCGTATAATGTTAAAAGCACCTCGCATAATGTTGCGAGTACCGCGTATAATGTCGAGAGCACCTCGTATAACGATAAAAGCACCACGTATAATGCTAAAAGCACCGGATGAAATGAAATTTAACCACTTAAGACACCTATGGCTTTCCATAGATACGGACAGTCTATGTTATGAAGTGAAGACCCGTGACATCTACCAAGATATACTGGAAGACGCAGAGCTATTCGACACATCCGAATACGCACAAGACCATCTTTTGTATAGTACACGAAACAAAAAAGTTCTCGGTAAGATGAAAGATGAGACGCATGGAATTCCAATTCAAGAATTTGTTGGTCTAAGGCCAAAGATGTACTACATCCTATACACCGAGAACAGTAAGCTGGTGGAGAAGAAGACAGCTAAAGGGATAAAGAAGTCGGTGACAAAGAAGAAGATAAGACATGATAATTATAAAACATGCTTATTCGATAAGAAGCACACAAAAGCGTCAATGAATCAGATTCGAAGTCACGGTCATGAGATCTACTCCATCAAATTAAACAAGATTGCCTTAAGTCCATATGACGATAAACGTTATATTTTAGAAGATGGTGTTAACACATTGGCTCATGGACATTATAAAATTAAGAAATAAATAACATAGGTGGAAAACGGAATAAGGATGGTGTTAAAGTTGTGTGTCGACTCTCTAAGATAATCTAATGAAACCTTGTAATATGATGAATTTTATATACACCGGCCTTTTTATGCTCTACTTCTATTGTCCTTTATGTTTTTTTTATTTTGAAGAAACTGGGCTGTGATGTGAACAGTTTATGATTGAGGGAGGTAGTTATAATTAGGCGGGTGGGGCTCCTGAGGATAGGGGACGTGCTTAGAGAGAATCGGGCCATCGGGCCATACAACAGGCCCTTCGGGCCATTTTCAACAACTGTTATTATATAAAAAAGTCAAAGTTTATTATTCTCTCGCCTCAAAATTCTGATTAAACCTGAGTTGTTCTGTTTTCAACTATTATTCGATTAATTATGAAATACCACGTTAATGAATAAAATACTAAACATACGGGAATAATGCTATAAGCGTGAGAACTAAAGGAGTTATCGTGTTTCGGGACACCCGGAGTGCCGGGACAGTGCCGCAGGGACATATTAGTAAAATAGTAAACGGTGGGGGTTTTGTTAAAACAGAATGCAATTGTGGTCATTATCGTTTTAATGACATTATATACGCGTGTAATTGATATGAAATTATATTGTGATGACGTCATAGGTGGTGCTTAGTGCACCACCCGCACCACCCGCGCCAGAACCCCTATTTTGTATACTACTAAGTTACTATCGCAAGGAAAGTGCTGCCTCACCCCCAAGGGATCAAAGGCAGCATGCGCAATTTGCTGAATAAGGGTCTGTTTTTATGATCCCGCTTTGTCAGGACGAGATGAAGCGGAATGATTTCGATGTATTGAAATAAGTCACGGTGCACAATTCAGCAAAAAAACGTCATTATTTTCTAGGGATAGATTTATATAGTTCACTGTAAACGAAAAGTTGTTCAAGCAGCAATAATAATCTTCTTGTTGAACTACAAGATCTTCTCTACAACATTTAAGTTCTGTTAACAAGGATGGTAAGACTTATTTCAATACATCAAAAGTCATCCCACCTTCCAGGAGGTAGGAAAAGTGCAATTTGAATACCAAACACCTTGCTCAAGGTCAAAGGTCAGCTAAATATTCTAATTCTAATACAGTCAGTGGCGAAGCTAGGTCGTAGGTTCGATTCCCACAGTGGCCAGGCATAGTTTTCAAGCTTGCCCGGTGTGGATATATACTCAGAGTAACATCACAAGCATCATGTTCACCTAAGTACATTACACCAACACAGAAAAATCAAGGTCATGCTACAGTATACAAGTTTTTAATGATTTGCATTATTCAAATAGATCCAGGTTTATAGGTGTGGCATGACCAGTTGTCATTGTAGTTAGCTTACAACTGAATACTGTACAATATCATTATATATAAACAATAATAATACTTGAATGAATCATTGGACATGTAGAATTTAATAACAATTTAATATGCAGAAATATTAAGTCAGTTTTTGACCCAATTATTGTTTTAATGGCACATTCAAAGTAATCTGCGATCAGGCCTATAAATAAATAAATAGGCTTGATACAAACCTTAACAAAAGATCATGCCTTACAATCATATTTCGGGTGTAAATTTTTTAATCTGACATTTGATTGGTTGCATGGTGCAAATTA